GATCGGATTTCGAGGCGTAGTCGTGGGGGAGGGGGTCTGCAGTCCGGTGGACTAAGGATTGCACCACTGCTTTTTGCAGATGATGTGGTTCCGATGGCTTCATCGGTCTGCGACCTTCAGCACTCGGATCGGTTCGCAACCGAGTGTGAAGCGGCTGGGATGAGGATCAGCACCTCCACTGCAGTTGCTTTACCGCACCGTTGTGACGAAAAGGGAGCTGAGCCAGAAGGCAAAGCTCTCTGTCTACCGGGCCATTTTCGTTCCTACCCTCACTTATGGTCATGAAGGATGGGTCATGACCGAAAGAACGAGATCGCAGGTACAAGCGGCCGAGATGGGTTTTCTCCGCAGGGTGGCTGGTGTCTCCCTTAGGGATAAGGTGAGAAGTTCGGTCATCCGGGAGGGACTCGGAGTTGAACCGCTCCTCCTTCGCGTCGAAAGGAGCCAGTTGAGGTGGTTCGGGCACCTAGTTAGGATGCCACCTGGGCGCCTCCCTAGGGAGGTGTTCCAGGCACGTCCAGCTGGGAAGAGACCAAGGGGTAGACCTAGAACCAGATGGAGGGATTATATCTCTTCGCTGGCCTGGGAGCGCCTTGGGATCCCCCAGTCAGAGCTGGTTGATGTGGCCAGGGAAAATAAAGTTTGGGGCTCTCTGCTGGAACTGTTACCTCCGCGACCCGACCACGGATAAGCGGGAGAAGATTGATGGATGGATGGATGGATGTTTTGTATCCGGTTGTAAGCAGGTTTATTTCTGCTTTAAAATGTGCTGTGTCAACACCGGGGTCTCTGGGGATTAAATCACTTTTCCTGACAGTCTTATTGCCGTTGTCTTTGTCACTATTGGAGGAAATAAAAAATAAAAAAGCTTTGAACTGTGACTAACAGATTTGTTTGATGTGGCCCACTCATTACACAGTTCCTCTTATTCCAGTAATAACAGTCTGTGTTGGTCCTGCTGAATGTACTGCCGTTTCACCATGGTAAAAACCACATTCGCAATGAGGAGTTAAATTACAGGAAATATTTCACTTTCAATCTTCACATGTGTTGTTATCAGAATGGAGCTTCAGTCTTGTAACTTAATAAATTAATGATATGAATAATTGATCATCAAGATAGCCATCAATAACTTCTTCACTTATCAACTCATTGGGTATGTATTCTTTTTACAACTACTGGTAACATTTGAAAGATTGATAGCAGTACTGTACTAATGATGAACCACCAAAACAGGGCCACAAAATGTGGACAACAGCTTAAAGACACTGACTTCTTGGCTCTCATGATGAGGGAGGCGAAGGAGAGACTCTGGTGGCGCTCGTCGTGGTGCAAGGGCTGATGGGCCAGAAGGAGACTGTAGTCCAGCACATTGAGCCTCCGCAGGAAGTGTGTGTCGATCTCCAGCTGCTGCAGGAGCCAGGCCCGCTGCCGCTCTGCACACACATACAGTTTATGTGTAAATGAATTTGATTTTAGATAGTACATTCAAATTAAAAGGAATGGGACAGTGTACAATATACTGCTGTCCTGATGGGGGTTAAATATGCTCTCTGTACCCTTACACAGCCTCATATGACCAATATTGGCGCATTAACATTGAAAGAAAAAGTATAAAAGTATTAGTATCAGAAAGTACTTCAAGTAAAATAAGTAATATTAGTCATAATTCAGAATTGCCCATTTCATAATAACAAAAAGGAAGATATTATTATGGTATTATATCAATTGGTAGATTAATATACATATCACAGAGCTCATTAGAATCATTTTGAATAATACTGTGACTTTATACGTAAAATTCATCAGATTATTTCTGTAATCTGAAGCTTGTATAAACGGTAGTTATTTTGAAATTCCCTCTCTGTACAGTTGTCATGAATGAAATTAGCTTTGTATCTGGCTGAAAACAGGCTTATTTCTTCCCGTTTATTTTTTGGACGTCTCAACAAAGGGGTCGTTGTTTTTCATTTGTGGTTTGACGCTTGCACAGCACACATTAACAGCACATTCTGTACCAAGAGAGATGTACTGCCCTTCAAAGTTGAGGTCTTTGAGAACCACGATGATGTGGCTCCCCTCCGGCGCAGGCTCCGTCCAACGGCTCACCTCGCAGCCCTTAATGTCGTACCTGGCCATACAAACACACATCAACCCACACACACAGGGGCGCCGTAAGGGTGTGAAAAGTTAGGACGATTCTAAGGGCCCGTGACTGACAGGTGCCCAGACAATTTTAGAACATTAAGAAAAACATTTTTAAGTAACCAATTTGATATCCTTTCATGGGGTCCACAATCCCTGGCGGCGCCCCTGCACACACACTGTCTGTTCCTGTGTCTGACACTCATTCCACTCATATGTTGACCTGTGGGCCATCAGATTAGGCTTACCTGGCATTGAGTCGATCATCAGGATAAAACACACTTTGCATTACAATGAAGTATTTCTGCAAAGGACAAGTGAAACAAAGTGAGTGCTTCCCAAGGTTTCTAACACTGCTTAATAACAACCACAACCAGTAATAAAATGTTTCTGTACCTTCTGCCTGTGTGGGATGTTGATCCTATGAACACCTTGAAAAAACAGTGAGAAATAACTGAGTCCAAAGCAAAAGATTATCTGATTTATTGTCATATACAGTACAATGTTGAGGTAGCTGTACTTCATTGTGTGCTTCTTTATACTACTGATGTATTTGACTGACTTGGTGACTAACTACTTCTCTTATATATTCTGAATTACCTTTTTTGCTTATGGCCCTAAACTAGATATATAGTATATCAGTGCTCTATTTTTCCCCTCCCATTTATCATCTCATGGCCCTTCAGATTTATGGGGAGCCTTTTGAGGGGAGCCCCCTAGGTTGATAACCGCGGCAATAAACAGCCAAGGTATATAAAATGTTTAACCTAGTTCCATCTGCAGCAGCTACAACAGTAACACGCTGCTTACATGAAGGAGTTTGAATTTATACATTGTTGCACCAAGGTTTTCCGTCGAGAATGTGAGATTACACAAATGTTGGTTGAACAATCTCAAAGTGTGTGAGGCTTTCAGACAAGACATTTTGGTAAATAACGCTAAATGGTCGGACTTCATGGCAGATGTGGGAGACAAAGAAGACGTAAGGAGCACGCTAAGATAGGAACAGGCGAAGGGACGGAGCAGGTGTAAATCTTGGTCTGGCTTTTCATCGTTGGCGAGCGCTAAATAAAGGCTGCCGTTGATTGTTATTAAGTAATATATGTGTCTTGTGTGTCTTGTGTTGTTGCACGTGCTTATTGTGTTAGCAAAGTGTTCCATGCAATAGTTGTTTTGATTGTAACATAATCGTGACAAATGTACAAATACATCCATCCAAATGTACAACAGTGGTGTAAAAGTGAATTGCACTATGAAACAGAGGAGGTGCTTGATTTGCAAAATGACTGATCATCACATAATATTGCCTCAAAACTATTTTCAATAAAAGAAAATCTGCAAATGAAAACCATCAGTATATTTCAGTTAGCTAGCCTCAGAGTTCTTATTCTGCTTTGTTTAGATACAGTATCTTGGCCGAAAATAATCTGTGATGGTGTGTGAGTGTGTGCGTCTGTGTGTGAGTGTGTGTACCTAGGAACTTGACCAGCAGTGAGTGGGGGAATCTCTTCAGATGTTCCACGTAGATCTTCAGGTTGCTCAGAAGGAATTTGATTTCCCTTTTGTTCTGCGTCTTCAAAAATAAACTTTTATCATTCCTGAAAGTTCAAGAGCACCAAGTGAGAACATTTCTGTATCAGTTATCTAGCCACTCAAAGAAAGAAAACAAAACATTTTTTATATCTATTTTGGTCTCAGATTTACTAACACCAAATACTCAGTAGTGATATAATCTGTCCCTCTGCTTTGAGATGAAAGAAGCATTACAGTGACTCAGCGTATTGAGTGGTTCCGTTGCAAGATGTGAGGTTTAAGTTATGACTTGTTCACTCACGTCACTAACGATATTTTCTATGGCATACTCATATTTATTTGTAGTATTTTAAACGACAATAAAGGTCTATAATATATTCATATTTATTCTGTATTGTGTATCATGCTGTCCATATATTCCTGATCCATAGCGTATTCCTTTCTATACTGCTGTATATAATGTGTATACCTCGATATACTGTTCATAGTGTAAATACTGTCAGATGTATATATTTATATTATACTATAAATAACTCTGCCCTTTATTTTTTGCATTGGTTAGATGCTAATTCCGTTTTGTTGTCAATGACAATAACGTTGAATATAATCTTATTTAATCTTTAATAAACATTTAGGTTTTTAGTTAGGCAAATATGATTCTAATAAAAAATAAAAGTGACTCAGAGGAACCATCATGTGTGTTATTGAGTTGGAAGGTGACTCACGTGAGAAAGAAGTCAGCCTTGCTCTTGGAGTTGCTGATGAACTGCAGGTAGCAGCTGCTGGAGCTCAGAGACTGCTGGTACTCCTGCTCCGAGACCCCCAGAGCCCCCCGCAGGAGGGAGAACACCGGGCCCGCAAAGGTCTCCATGGTGAAGTCCTACATACGCGCGTGCACACACACACACACACACACACACACACACACACACACACACACACACACACACACACACACACACACACACACACACACATTACCAGGGTTGGGAGTGTTACTTTAAAATGTAACATCTACAATACATGTAATCAGTAACCTACTCTGAGTATCAAAATAGAAAAGTGATGTTATCTGATTACTTTCTGTTAGTTTTGGATTACCTCAAAATCAAATGAAATGAAAATATAAAAAAAGAGAAAATAATTATCAATAAGATGTTTTTTTACTTTAATGTATGCAACCTTAGAAAAGAAGGAACCAAGATACTTCTGGTAACAGTAATAGCTAACAATGTTGTTTAAGCTTTACTTTATTTAACATTAATCAAAAGCAAACTGTATTTTAGTTTAATAAATCAGGTGTCCGCCTACTGCATTTAAAAAATACATGTATTTAAAAATAAATAAGAATTAAAGTAGCTTCAATATAACCCATGAAGAAAATTCAGTTAGTCTACCTAGAATATATCCGTCTTCATTTCAAAATATTGCAACACTGTCATCCTGTTAGTAATCTCTATTGAATAATGTTACCTTTTTTCTATCCTGATTACTTCATCTCATTACATGTAATCAGTTACTCCCTAAGCCTGCTAACTGTTGGTGAAAACAAGAATAATGAATTTGAGGCCTGTTAGTGATGGAGACATATCATCCACCTACCTTATGAATCTGAGTGACCTCTAATCTGTAATCCTCATCAGACAGTTCATTCTAGAGCAGGAGAAAGTGCAGAGATGCCATTAAGATTAGAAGGATTCATTATTTAATCATTAAGCTAAATTAAGGTATATATACAGTAACTGTTGTACATATAACTGCAGGTTTTAGATACAGTATATACATAAAGTAAATTCATTGTATAGAAACTAAGTATTTGAAAAGAGGAATGGAAATTAATACGAACACTATAGCTGCTGCAAATCAATAATCCCTGAAGCATTGTGGCCAAATGAAAGATTTGAAATGCCTGGCTGAAAAAAGAAATCCAAAAATGTTGTTAATAAGTACGATGGGACATCATTTTCCATGCCCCATAATGACATATCACAACACAGAAAACAAGTCAATACAAGTACAATTGACTTGCGTTTCCTGTTTTGGCAGACTAAATGGTGTGATGATTGATGAATGATACAGAGCTTGCATCACAGAGCAGTAGTAGCAGAACTGTAGTCTCATGATGATATTTACAGGAAGAGTGAAAACCATGACCTGCTGGTGGCGTCAGAGGATCATCTGAGTCATTAGGATTCATCCTCAGGGACCAAAAAGCAAGGATGGATCCAAAGTGGTGGACTGACTCGAGCGTAGCTAGAAATCAAGCTAGATTGAGTTCAAGCCACAATGTGATCTGCAGCAACACAGGCTCCACAAAGGCCCACTGATTGCTGACATGTGCCTGCTCTCTGCCACAGCCCCCCCCCCCCCCCCCCAGGGGACCGTGACGTCCGGAGTGATGTTTCATTGTTAATCAAGCGGCCATCTCGTACCTGGCCAGCGAAGGGGAAAGCAAGCCACTGTTAAAACCTCTTAAGCCCCACGGACCTGAGCTCGGGTCCGAAAATGCTATATATGTAGCAAACGCGCATGATGGCTGAGAGAAAGAGCAGCGTTGTGTGGAGCACTGTGAACTGTGATGTGTGCAAGAAGACAGTTCGCTACTCTGGCCACTTTGTATTGTTATTTTTTATGTTTGCACTTTAAATTTGCAAAAGTAAAACGTTTATTTGTCTATAAAAAACTGTCCTGTCTGTATTCATGAAAATAAATTCAGATTTAGACTATTTATGATGATTTCAGCTCAAAAATCATGTCATGCAGCTCTCCCCTATATGAAAGTAGATAAGACGCTTTTCATTTAAAAAAGTATCGATATCGGTATCGGCGATACTGGCTCTGAAATACTTGGTATCGGATCGAATCCAGATTTTGTGGTATCGCCCACCCCCTACAGTCCGTGGCTTCAGCTGCGGGAGATGCAGTTTACGCATAGCTCCCCCTCCGCAGGCGTAACATATTTATGTATTTTGAAACTGCCACTCGATTCGATTGGCTCTAACGATTCAAAAAAGGTGTCAATCACCCAAATCGACCAATGGGTTCCAGAGATAGGATCTTGCGTAAGTATAAATAAAGGCAGTATAGCTGGTTTACGCACACGCCCACTCTTTTTACGCAAGCATAGCATAGCATAGCATAGCATAGCAGTGTCCCGTCCCGCGGCGACAGGAGAGCAGAGAACGGCAGATCGATCAGCGAAACAGCAGGATTTGTTTTCTTTGTCTTCATTGTAACAATGGCAGCCAGAAAGGAGACTTTTTTGTCCGTCGAGGAGGCATTGGACATCGTATTTCAGGACTCTCCTTCGGAAGATAGTGATCTCGTCACGCATAAAGGGGACAGTAAAGACTCTGATTATGAACCTCCGTCACCGGAAAGGTATGTAATCTCTCTGTTTGTATCTATTACTTATTTATTAGGTGTAAGAGTATTCATCTATAGTAATTTCACACACGTGACAATAACACGACGGCATCCATCTTGTGATATAATGTTCTTTCAAACACTCAACAACAAACAAAGAAGATGGATGTTGTTTCTTGTTCTTGTTGTTGAAATAAACAAGACATATACATATACACGGTATTACATTACATTTCATTTAGCTGACGCTTTTATCCAAAGCGACTTACAATTATTACAATTATTACTTATATTATATATACACACATGCATATATATATATATATATATATATATATATA